TCGAATATTTATGATTACATATGTGCGTATTAATTCAGAGCAATTTTTATCGACATTTTTTCTCAATTGGCAATTTCAAATATTTGTCCGTAGTTGCATAAATTTACACAAATAAAATATGTAAATTCTGCAGATACAAACACATAGCATACCCTGGCAAATGGGGGAGCTTATGCGGCAATTTGATTGCTTGGATACGGGATTTATAATTGTGCGTTGGCTGTGCACAAAATTGATTAATATTTCCCGAATGCTTTCTATGAGAAACGTGAGATGCCACGCGAATGCAAATTTTAATCAGAGATATTATACTCGTAGTTCGATGGCCGTTTCAGTCAGTCAAAAATGCAATTTCCATGCGTTCATCTATTTTCGGATGATTTTCGAGTAAATCGACATAGACAAATGAAATATTTGACAGCTAAATATTTATTAAACTGTATGTCAAAACCCGGCGTTTAAAGCTGAAGCCAACGAGACACATGCATACATTTAGGAACATTTATTCAGGAATCTGAAGGATACATATACTGCCGCTCTTAGATCTCGATATGGATAAGTAAACGGATTTAAAATCGGGATTGTTAAGGGCAATGGCCAATAAATGCCACCATTAATAATGCAAAATATCACATTATTCGCCAGCGCAAAATGTAATTAAATATAATAGAAACAATCAAAAAACCAAATCCCATAAATTAAACTCCCAGCTTTGGCGATTGAACAAACAGCAACAAAAAAATGCATATGCTGGGGAAAAAAGTAGTGAAAATAATGCAATTTTAAATCTGTCACTGGAATTGTTAATGCCATATTAGTTGTTTTGAGCTAATAAAGCGTAATTATCAACGCATTTATTTAATTAGCCGCACAAAGTGCGCAGAACAAAGCCCTCAATCAGTCGACCATCTCCCTCTTCAATTTGTCTACAAATTGTGTGTGGCATATATAATGACAATTTAATAGGCTTGTCAGTCTGCTGCTGTTTGTGCGGTAATTTAATTTAATCCCAGCCCAAAAGTCGAACCACTGATTTTGGAACTAAGAACCTACAAGGAAATAGCTCAAGTATTGATTTTTAAAGACATTCTCTTTGTAGGCATCTATGTTCTATCCAAACGACCGAACGCATTATGCAGTCAATAAGATTATCGGACTGAAAACTGCAAAAACAGACGTACAGCGAATGGATTTGCCATTTGATTTAACATTAATGAACAAAATGAAATTAATTGAAAACTATTTTCATTTTGTCTCTTTGTTTTCCTTCTCTTTTCTTTTTTTTTTTTTGGTTGTTTGTAATTACCTTTTGTGCATAATTGGTGGGCTTTAATGGGTTAACAAAATGCGATTAAGCGAAATGCAATTGCGAAATGCAAATTTTTCCTCATTCGGATGATTGGGAAGTATATCTCGCATGCATACACATATATATATCCCCTATTCACTTGGGCTAATGACAGGCGGCAGATTGAAACTGGCCGATAAAGTCGACACAAAGGACGGACGGCCATAATTCTCCATCAAAAAATGGGGACTCCAGGAGGAGACACACTTGTTGCTGCCCCGCCCCCTTTGAACGGCCTGCCCCGTGACAGTTAACAAAGTGCTGCAATTAGGGCTGACAAAGTGCCCGGCTCCTGGGCTCCTCGACTCCTCGACTCCTCGACTCTTCGGCTCCTCGATTCCTCGTCGACTCCTGGATGCTGGGAACATTGTGCGAACACCCGAATGAATTTGTTAAAACCACGGCCCCCTTGACTGGCAAGCGAACAAGTATCTGTTGGATATGAATTAATCAAAGACTAAATAAAATGCTTAGCATTTGCATTTCACCCCGTTTCAACAAACAATTTGTCAGCCTTCGTAATGGACAGAGGCAAGTGTCACAGGCGGATTCCTCTTTTAAAAATACATCAGAAATGTATATAAATCTTTTGGTCGAGGAAACTATTTCGGTGACGGACGCACACGGCTGTTTTTCTCATTTTTGGGGTAATTGGAGCTGCATTTTGGTCAGCAGGGGTTAAGGCAAAGTAATTTTCATTGAGATGCCGCCCTACCTTTCGCTTTCGCCAATCACATATTTTTGATATTTGTGACTTTGGCATTGACGTCTGTCTGCAGGGGCTGTCGATCGAAATAGACTTGGCGCTGAAATGCCCCTCAAATGAATTTGTCGGTGGGCGGAAGGCCAGCGTTTTGAACTATTTTTCCAAGGAAAACTCGAGAGGAATGTCTTATTTTACATATTTAAAATCACCAATCGCCCGTTTAAACGCTACCAAATGTCGGGCAATTAATTCTCGATCCCGTTCCCGAAAAAGAGATGCACGTAAATGCTGTTGTGATTTATGAGCGCGCGCCGCACGAGATTTTATAATTTGTTCAGCGCAACGTGCATGGCCAAAATAAATATTTTCCCTTCGTTAAATTCATAAACAAAGCTCCGGAATGGAATGGACCGGTATGGGATGCTATGCGGGTTTCCCCACTGAACCCTATCCCAAAGTGCCGACTCAATCGCAATATCTCGATGGGTTTCTGTGGCTTTTGCTGCGGCGATGAAACCAAAAATTGTTTGCCAGTCACGTTTGTGGTGCAGAAAGAGCAGTGGCAACAGTGGTACCCATTACCCATTTAGCAAAAAGAAAAAAAAGTAAGGGGTAAAGGGGGTGTTCAGACAATTCGAGTTGAGTTGAGTCTGCACTTCTTCGTCGAAGATTTCGCGTCTGTGGGCGTTTATTTTCAACGCACTGCGGTTATGTAATTGCGAGGCGTCGGATACGTGATTACTTTTAGTCAAATTGCCGCTCGAATATTGTGTAATTCCCCTCGACTCTGCTCGACTCCGCTGCCTCCTCCACTTGCGATTTCATATCTGTGCGAAAGTGTGCCATCGGTGTGTTGGCCAGGGAAAGTGATCAACTCGTTGGCAGAAGTTAAGGTCAGGGTTGCACCTCGCAAGTGCTTTTCAAGTGGCAGCAATAGTAGAGCACTTTTACTCATTGTATTAATAAGTGGAGGTATCAACATTCAGTCAATGTTGCTTATCGGAAGAATAATACTCCACTTCAGCATGATAATGTATTGTTGATATAGAAATAGTTCTCTCTACGCAGTGAATTGTCAGAAATATTAGGAAGTAAATATCACATCATAATATCGCAAGCCAACTATTACGGTTAATCGCAACTATTTAAATATTTATAAAACTGATAAGTGTTTAGTAAAAAAGGGACTAAGAAAAGTTTACAATAACTGTTTATAAGTACTTTATTAAGCCACGTAGTGTATGAGATTCCAGATCAGAAGGTCAAGAGAGGTCACATCACAGTCTACTACCCAACCTTTCCCAGGTAGGAACCTCCCATTAAGGTCTGTTAAAATATTCTTTAATCATTATCAACGGTCTCGTTTCGCGATGTTTCGCCAGCTTTTTTGCTGTGAATGACATACGAACCCCGAAGAATCAACAAAGATACGAGAGAAGTGGCTGTCTCAGCAAAAGCAAAGAGAATGCAATCTACCATGACAGTTCACGAAGGTTAAATTCTTGAGAAATGATTTGGTGGCAAGAGTACGTACAGGCCGCAGAAACTGCAGCAAGCCAACGAGAGCGAACTAATTAAAATATACGCAAAGCTGTTTGAAATTTGTAGAGCATGTCTCCCCTTTTGCAGTCCCCCGATTGTTGCAATATGTGCACGAATCCGAGTTCGAGTCCGAGTCAAGTGAATCCAAGCCATGAAATATTGTCACGCACTCAGGAACGGAATAGGAATAGGATGTGAACGAGAAGACCCATTCTAATGAGCTCAGCTACATTTCCGCGACGGCCTTAATTTACGATCCCGGGCCGAGAAGGAATTCGCTCGTATTATTCAGCAGTGAGAGAAATTTGTTTGCTTAGAGAACCCAGCTTATTCATTTTTAATATTAACTTGATACCGAACTAAATTATCTGAGTTTTTTTCCCGACTAGAACAGTCAGTTCTATGTTTTCGCTGTATTTCCCTGTGCACCCATCCTCTGGTCAATTAATTCCGCCCTGGACTGATAATCCCCAGTGTAATCAAAGACGTTTCATTCATCGGAAAAGTGGTCAGTGGCAATGGCCATTAGCTCATTCAAGTTTATAGAACCAATATCTTATCGCGCAATGATTCACGGACTTCTTCAGGCGTTGGGAGACTTATTCGGTGGAAGTGGCGATGGTTTTACATCTATTATTGGTGAGGTGACCAAACATTAGTTTAATCCCAAGATAACAAGGTGGGTGATCAATCGATTTCATCTTTTTGTGGGGGTTCAATGAACCTCGGCCAAAAGAAACCCGCCAGATAATCGGACACAAGAACAGGGGAGCTACAACAAGTTTTGGTCATGGCTAAATTACATCACAGGCAGACTGCTGGTGGCCTGGCGGGAATTGGAAATGGCAAATGGAAATGGAGAGCAACCACTGCGTATACGTGATGTTAGAGGTGGCGAGAGATGGGGAGGGAGGCAGGCAGAGAGAAAAGGAGAGAGGAACTGCTGAAAATGGCTGAAAATAGATCATCCGAGGAGGAAATCCGAAGAGCAGCCACGAAAATCGCAACAGAAAATTGCCAAGATAACGAAAGACACTTTTCGAGGAGGCGACCTAGAGAGCTGGTCTGGCTTCATTAATATGCGATGCCTTATGCTGTCGCCGATATGTAGACTATACGAGTATATCGTTGAAAACGTTTTGAAAATGTCTCAGAAACCGTGGCGCCAAAACGCAGCAATTCGAGCATAGAAAGGAGGCGCAGGAGGTGGTGGCCGCCACATCCGCAGCACTTTCGCAATTTGTATATCTGTATCTGTATCTGGCAGATATTGTATCTGGCGGATGGCTGATGGCTGATGGCTGCTGGCTGCTGGCGAACGGCGCTGACTGACTGACTGAGCGAGAGTATTCGGAAACAAATCCAATCCGCGCAGCCATTTCAAGGAGCTAAAAATAAACTCACCTTGAAAAGTTTCTAAAAATTTTCTCGCTTTTTGACTATATAATTTTATTCAATTTCAACGAGCCGAAGATCTACGACGTATCTGTATCTCTGTATCTCTGTGTCTGTACCTCTGGCCAACAAATGTGATATATGCGTCAAACGAAATTCCCTGGATCGGCGTGCCAAGAAAATGATTTACCAATCGAATATATTCGCGCTGAGTCTTCGGTTTCGTAAGGGATTTTACTTGTTGTTAACCTTCACAATATGCACACAAGTCACTATTTAGCGGATGAATGGAAAGGAGGGGGGCTGTCTCTGATATTGATTCTGATTCATCAGCGATCCTGGCGAATTGATTGCGGCAGGCTATTGTATAACCAGCTGATTTCTACCCAACGAATGGCTGATTTCACATGCGACCTGGTACTGACCGATTTATTCCGATCGGGTGGCTTTCTGCTGGGACTCGATTCGATTCGATACGATTTGATTTTTTCTGATTTGGACTTGAATCGGTTTCGTATATTCGAGGCGTTTGTGGTGCACTGCCAGTTCAGTTCTTGGGCGACGTTAACTAAGCGACGATTTTCTCTCAACTAAAGCAAAAACCGAAACCGAAAATTTTTATGTGCATTTTGTGCCGTTTTCGAATACAAAAATCTTTTCAACCACATCGCTGGCGTCGCAGTCGTCGTCGCTGCCGGCGTCGCTGCTTTTGGGCCGTGCGAGAGGCAGTGGCAGTCTGGCTATATAGCATCTATATAGATATTGTCGGTTCTCAATTCCTAACCGATTCGACGGCAGAGCTACACGGCAAAGCTACAAACACCAGACGACGACGACGGCGACGGCGACGGCTGCCAATGTCTGTCTGGCTTTTGTGGCCCACTGTTTTTTGTTGTTCCTAGTGCGGGTTATACTTTTTGTTATTTGGCTAATTGTTTGTATTTTGTTTTCATTCGCAAGCTTTTAACGGCGCAGCCAGCCAAATGCCCATGTGCAATCAGTCCGTTTCGGGGCTGTAACTCATGGTAATCCTATAATTACATCTAGTTAAATGGGAAAAGCAATTTATTGAAGGGCTAAAGTACTGTTTTTCATGTAGAAGAAAATATAAAAAAAGCGTATTTAATAAATTAAATTTCAGATACTAATGTCTTAATGCTGCTTTTTTTTGTGGAACAAATGATACCTAAATATCCTAAACTTTTTCCATTATATTTGTCGCAAGAATGAATTATCCTTATGAAACGCACATTTGGCACGTTTCTTTGATGTTGAAAGCAAGTGCAGGTGCTTTTGGCTGCCGCTATTCAGTTTCTGCTGCTGAACTAATTCCCATGATCTGTTTTCCTCAAAACCACAACAAAGTGTGCATCTGAATGGGAACTACAGCCCCGAATAGTCTGAGCAATGTGGGTCACAAAAGATCCTGATTGCGTGAATCAGTGACTCAGTGGTGACTCCATTAGAGCTATGTTCCATCCGATCCATTATCCATTTCCCAATAAACGATTAATCATTCCATCGGGGTCACACATCCCTCATACCCCATGCTCTTTTTAAAGATCGCAGGTCTAAAAACATTCTGCCGCTAAATCGAAATTTCCGTAAATTGAATTTCCAGTGCATGAAAAGTGAGCCATAAAACATTAATATGTTAAAATGTAGCCATAGCGCAATGCTTACAAAAATAAACGCAAATATGTTTTTGCCAGCGCTGATGTGCTCAATCAAGCAGCGAAATGAAATGAAACGAATTGAATCGAATCGAGGCAAACAATCCACCAATCCAAAAAAAAGGCGCAGGAAAACATGGCTGACTATGTAGATAAATATGTATAATATAATATAATATTTGGATGTTTTATACCGCGCGTATTTGTGTCTACATCGCATCACATCGCGGGCGGCATAAAAAGCTCAGGCGGGTTAAACAAGAACAGCAAACAAGTGAACAAATAATAATAAACCAGCCCGCCACCTAACTATCCCGAAAAAACCATTTTGGCTTTTTAATTAAATCATGTTGAGTGGCAAAAATAATATTAAAGAATCTAGAGCTGTGCGCAATTCAATCAAAATCACTAAAAAAAAAAAAGCACTGTTCTTGCGGTTTTTATTACGCATTTCGGTCAGCCGATTAAGATACGGGATACCGAGATACGGGCGTAATTAAGTTTAAAGACCGCATCTCGACGATCTTTCGTTTTTTAATGACGGTGACAACGGTTAGTTACACAATAACTTGCGGTTAACACTTTTGCTTTTTATATCAATGTGGTTAATTGCGTGAATCTGTCTTTGAAATTCGGGGATGCTGAGTCAACGGTCAAGTTTTTGAAGCTATGAATCACACAACTGAGCCCTGTGGCTCGAAACCGGCTCTTCTCTGCTGTTTTTTTTTTTTTTTTTGAAACTTTTTGGCAGGAGGCCAGCACAAACAACAACCCACAAACAACAAATCGCCAAGAAACTGGCCAAGACACTTACACTTCACTCGCACTTGTTGGATTCGCAAGCGGACTCGTAACGTTCCCTCTGCGAAAATGAAAAGCGATTTGGGACCGTGACCGGGAGAGTTGTTTCTGGATGTTTTGAGCACTTGAGTGAGTACGTCTGAGTTACTCGACACTTCTTGGTTTTATATCTTTCGTTCCGGGTTTATATCTTTCTGCTGTGCTGCGAGACAACCGCGCGCGATCGTTGCGTTCGAGCGAATGAGGGCTGGGATCGGGATCTCGACGACGACGGGTTGTTTGGAGTCGCACTGTAAGACGAGCGACTCACACAGATACTCCCGCTCACCCACACACTCGCACGCTGCGCTCTCACTCGCTCTCTCCTCCGCTCAATCAACAGGTAAGTGGTTAGCCAAAAGGTGCGCAAATGTATCGGTTTCTGTATCAGCCAGTGTATCTGTATCATGTGTGACACTCGTGTGCGGCACTTGCTGATAAGATAAGGCCCGAAAAAGCCGAATAGAACAAACGCAAATATAAACAAACACCGGGCGCAACCATAAGCCTCGATTTTCGCAGCCAGTGATAGTGGCATTCGAGCCATTAATTCAGTTTACTGGCCTGGATCAATAATTTGAGCAAGCTAATTTGCAGCAAATAGCGCGGCTTTTGGCGAGCTGCAATTCTATATTTAGGTTGCATGCCACATCGCACCGAAACTGGTTCCTCCAGTTTTCTGATAATCTGGGTGACGGCTACACAACCCAAAACAACAGCGGCCCCAACACAACACCCTGATTCTGGACACGAGCACAAAGTCTGATTTTCCTTTTTAGCGCCAAACAAAAATCAAAACAGTCGACAATGCTGCGGTTTTCGCACACCCTCTTTAGTTGTTACTTGCGTTGCACAGAATGAGTCAACTTAATCTACTTATCAGGGCTTATTCTTAGAGAATATCACACTGCTCAATTCGAAATAAATATTTTACATTTTCGAAATCCAAAAATTTGAACTTCCTTGCCAAATTGCAAAAACCCTTTGTGAGGGCAACAATTCAGCAAATGCAGTTCCTCCCAAAAAAAAAAGAAAAACAAAAAGAAAGACATGAAAAAAGCGATCAAACTGCGCAGTTGGCCGAAACCGGTTGTCGCCTTGCAGAACGCCTGCTTCATGCCCTTTGCAGTGATATTGTTGACCAAGAGCGAGAAGCGGGCCAACAAAACCCCGCCTCCCTGCAACTGGAGGTGAAAAGAACAAACAGAAACCAAAAGTGCTAGCCCCATGGCTTTGGCTAATGCACGCGAGACCGGCAGTAAATCATTTGCCAGCTATTTTGTTTGATCAGTCCACGCAGCGGACTTCTGGACTTCTCCCAAAGACAGACACAGACTGGCCAACAGAACCCGCCCAGAGGAAGCGACATCGCGCAGTCACTCTGAAAATGTCACGCATGCGCTGTCGGCATGCGCGTAATTGCATCGAGGATGTGCGGTGGCCAGGAGGATGTGCCAACTATATAATCTAGTGGGGGGACGCATTTGGCTTTACAATTTAATGAGCGCTTAAATAAAGAAATTGCCTGGAAATAGGCCGCAAAAGACACAATTGTCTTGAGTGGCAAATCGGATTACCAAATCTTTTATTATTTATCGATTTACAGCAGATAATTTGAAATCTAAAGGAAAATATATCAATTTATTTAATATCACAATTTTTGGATAAGCCAATCGACTTGCACAATTTGTTTTAGCAATGCTTATCTGTGCTTAACTATAACATATTTGTTATAACTGGGCGCCATATTTGTAGTTTAAGCTTTGTGTTGGACACCTGGCGTTGACTTACGGAACCGTCTTAGCTTACATCTACTTTACACAAAATCAGCGCCACCTGTGCGGCCACAGCTATAAGCAGCCTCATTTATCTTTTCCACTTCGGTTTGCATTGAGAAATTTTGCTTCAAACGGCCATGTTTATTAAATTGAATTAATCGTGGCTGAAATGCCTTATGAGGTATGGAACGTAGAAGTCTTACAGCCGTTTTATATATATAATGAAAAGATTTTGCTCTTTGATCAATTTGATTGTGTTTATTTATTCCTAAAGTGTTAAAAGATAATTAAAATTGGAAACTAGCAATGATTCCTGGCAATGGCCTCCCGCTCTGTTTTTGTAAGTAATGAGATCTTATATTTTTTTATTTATATTTTGTTTTAATTGCCTTTGCATCTTTACATGTATATCTGTGGTGTTGCTGGGATAAATGTAAATATGTGAATTATTAATATGTTTGGTGGTGTAAGTTGAGGAAGTGCTTCTAGTGGGTTGGTCTTCGTATTTATTTATTATTATAAAACAGTTGTTCGGATCCAATTATTGTAACTCGTAACATCTGTTACAACGATCACATCATTCTTGATAAAGTTTATCATACCGAGAAGTAGGAATTTTTTGTCATTGTTGATAGTTTCATAAGTGCCGAGTACAGAGCCAGGTAAGTGGAATTTAAAACCGCAGCATGGTTTCTTCACACAGAATTGAGAAGGCTGTAGTGGCTCTTGTATCATTTCGGAGCATTCAATACTGCTAATTTTATCAAAAAGTACTTTTTGGGCACCAAGAACGCGTTCTTGGTTACTGTAGAGAATGGCAGTCAGCGACTTTCTGGAATTCATATTTAGGTCCAAGCAGATCGTACTTATGAAATCTATAGGTCAAATCTTTTGTTAGAAAATGGTAAAAGACCAAACAGATACGTAATTACTTGAAATTGGTACACGCTCAGCTAGTTTAAGCAAAGCTATGTTATTCTCGAGTGAAGATAGTCCGAATTGGGGGTGCTTGAAAACCGCTTCAACGTTGAAGCTCCTAAAATATATTGACCTTACTTTTCTGAAAAGATAAGTCATCAACAGATGTGGATAAATAATTTATAATATATATATGATAAGAAGACTATAACTGAATGGTAAATCTTCTACTTACATAACCTTGGGATGATTGAGAAAAGCGCTTGCAACAGTAATGACAAATCCTTTGAAAATGAAATGCCAACAATTGATTTGATAATCGATTCATTTAAATTACTTACGGTCTGTTATCAATGAGCCAGTAAAATTACGATTCATTACGAAAACTTCAAAATGGAGCACATCTATTCCTCCAGTCCAACTGCTGCCGCACTCCTTATACAAAAGTTCTTGAATATGCGTCGTTGGCTGGGTTTTCGCTCGTATCCAGTCTTTGTAGGCCATGACATCGGTGTAGGCGCCATTTTTGTTGCAACTCGGTGATCCGTAGCTCACGATCCCCGCTTGCACTGCCACTTGTTTTCCAAAATATTTACCATACACCACCAGAGGACCACCGGAGTCGCCCTTACAGGTGTCACCCTTTATATTTCCAGCGCAGATCAGTTTGTCAGAAAATTCCCATACCTCGTCCATTTCTAAGCAGTGCCATGTATTTTTGCGTTCCAGGGTAATTGAGTTTAATATTGGGCTTGATTCTGTGTTATTTGGATGGGTACTACCCCATCCGAATGCCGAGTATGTCATGAATCCTGATGAATTGATTTTATCATCTAACATGATGCAAATAGGCCAAATACGGGCTATCAGTAAAAAACAAATAACACATTTATTAGATAATAGCAAATAATCCGCACATCTCAGCCATAGTGCCCTTGCTCACCATTGAATTTCACTTCTTTCTTCAGTATTAGCACACCTATATCGTTTAACATTGTAGTGGGATCGAAGTCATAATGGATTGTGGCTTTGACCACATCATTCCAATTACTGTCTAAGCATTGCCCTTTGAAACAAAATGTATCCTTCACCCCCAATCGCACATATCTAGGTCAAAGAAGATTGGAATTAATTGAAGGATCTACCGCTTGCATAAAAGTGCTACATACAGGGCAGTCTGATCGATTATGCAGTGTGCAGCTGTTAGGACGTAGTCTAGAAGCAGATAAGTTCAAAATGTACATATATGTATGGCTCCGCATTTAACCGCATTTTCGTGATAGTTACTTTTGGTAATAAGCGTTCCACCGCAAAGAAATATTTTAAGTCTGTTGTATATGGCTGTCATCCAGGGACTCTCACTTCTCGAAGCTGGGACTCCCCCGGCAATTTTAAAGCTCATTTTTGGTGTGCAGCCTTCATCCAGAACACTCATCTCACTCTGACAGAGAACTGATGCGAACAGAACTAAGAATATCGCGGAAAACGACATCACTTCTTTTACTCGTCTGGTGCATAACTGACTCAAAGTCACATTGTTTTCATATACTTCTTACCGATAATGTGCACTTCTTATCTTACTTCTTATCCCACTTCTTCGCACTTCTTATTCTTAGCTTACTCTTAAATTGAAAAACATATTTATACATTTAACGGCAACTCTGTAGCATAAACTCAGATTAGCATTGAAGTTGGAACCCCAAGATTATCGACTTAAGTAATTCTCTCCTATTTGGTTTTCATTAAAGTATTTAATAAGTTAGAGCGGTATTGAATAAACCGTGATAAACCGTTTGTTCACTGATTTGTAATGCCTAATGTTTAATTACTATAAGCTGTATCCATAATTCAATCCGAATAGTTTGGTATATTTGCATAGACCAGTAAGATGCTCAAGAGGCCTGTAAGGTAGACAAAGCGTTAAAAACTGAATCTATGTTACCTGAGTTTGGCACATTATGAACCAGTTTAAGAAAGGCAACATTGTTATCCAATGACGAATTCGTGAAGTGCGGGTGCGTATGGATCGATTCCACGTCGAGAGTTTCTATATGCAACAAAAATGTATAAATAGTTAATAAATTGTATTGTAAATGTATATAAAAGTTACATGCTCGGGATTTCTTAGGAATCGCTCTGGCCACCGTCAAGACAAATCCGTTGATAATAAACACAATTAAAAATAATCAAAATTACAAAACGTATTTTAAACGCAGTTCGACCAAAATGGACTTACTGTTCGTGATCAGCTGGCCAGAGATATATATTATATTATTCTGATACAGCGATACCTTCCATAGGCGAACAACGATATCTTCTTTGCAATTGCTCTTGCACTCTTCGTACAAAACGTTCGTAAACGAAATCGGCCGTCAACAGATTTTTAGAGAATTGCGCCAAAGACATTTAGAGGTATGCCACTTCAAAATCCGATTAAGATAAGTTGATTTTTTTTGGTTTAGAACTTCAGCCTTGGGACATTTTTGAATTTCCACAACATGATTACATCAAAAAATTTACAAAAAAATTTAAAAAAAATAAATTTCTAAATTTGAATGCAGATTTTTAGAGAATTTCACCAGAAACATTTAGAGGTATGCCGCATCAAAATCCGATTAAGATAAGTTGATTTTTTTGGTTTAGAACTTCAGCCTTGGGACATTTTTGAATTTCCACAACATGATTACATCAAAAAATTTACAAAAAAATTGAAAAAAAATAAATTTCTAAATTTGAATGCAGATTTTTAGAGAATTGCACCAGAAACATTTAGAGGTATGCCACTTCAAAATCCGATTAAGATTAGTTGAGTTATGGAGTTTTGAGCTTCAGCCTTGGGACATTTTGTTAGTTTTTTGTATTTGTACATTATAACATCAAAAAAATTACAAAAAATTGAAAGAAAAATAAATTTCTAAATTTGAATGCAGTTTTTTAGAGAATTGCACCAGAAACATTTAGAGGTATGCCACTTCAAAATCCGATTAGGATAAGTTGAGTTATGGAGTTTAGAACTTCAGCCTTGGGACATTTTTGAATTTCCACAACATGATTACATCAAAAAATTGACAAAAAAATTGAAAAAAAAAAATTTCTAAATTTGAATGCAGATTTTTAGAGAATTGCACCAGAAACATTAAGAGGTATGCCACTCCAAAATCCGATTAAGATTAGTTGAGTTATGGAGTTTTGAACTTCAGCCTTGGGACATTTTGTTAGTTTTTTGTATTTGTACATTATAACATCAAAAAAATTACAAAAAATTGAAAGAAAAATAAATTTCTAAATTTGAATGCAGTTTTTTAAAGAATTGCACCAGAAACATTTAGAGGCATGCCACTTCAAAATCCGATTAAGATAAGTTGAGTTATGGAGTTTTGAACTTCAGCCTTGGGACATTTTTGAATTTCTACAACATGATTACATCAAAAAAATTACAAAAAATTGAAAGAAAAATAAATTTCTAAATTTGAATGCAGATTTTTAGAGAATTGCACCAGAAACATTTAAAGGTATGCCACTTCAAAATCCGATTACGATTAGTTGAGTTATGGAGTTTTGAACTTCAGCCTTGGGACATTTTGTTAGTTTTTTGTATTTGTACATTATAACATCAAAAAAATTACAAAAAATTGAAAGAAAAAAAAATTTCTAAATTTGAATGCAGTTTTTTAGAGAATTGCACCAGAAACATTTAAAGGTATGCCACTTCAAAATCCGATTAAGATTAGTTGAGTTATGGAGTTTTGAGCTTCAGCCTTGGGACATTTTGTTAGTTTTTTGTATTTGTACATTATAACATCAAAAAAATTACAAAAAATTGAAAGAAAAATAAATTTCTAAATTTGAATGCAGTTTTTTAGAGAATTGCACCAGAAACATTTAGAGGTATGCCACTTCAAAATCCGATTACGATTAGTTGAGTTATGGAGTTTTGAACTTCAGCCTTGGGACATTTTGTTAGTTTTTTGTATTTGTACATTATAACATCAAAAAAATTACAAAAAATTGAAAGAAAAATAAATTTCTAAATTTGAATGCAGTTTTTTAAAGAATTGCACCAGAAACATTTAGAGGTATGCCACTTCAAAATCCGATTAGGATAAGTTGAGTTATGGAGTTTTGAACTTCAGCCTTGGGACATTTTTGAATTTCTACAACATGATTACATCAAAAAAATTACAAAAAATTGAAAGAAAAATAAATTTCTAAATTTGAATGCAGATTTTTAGAGAATTGCACCAGAAACATTTAAAGGTATGCCACTTCAAAATCCGATTACGATTAGTTGAGTTATGGAGTTTTGAACTTCAGCCTTGGGACATTTTGTTAGTTTTTTGTATTTGTACATTATAACATCAAAAAAATTACAAAAAATTGAAAGAAAAAAAAATTTCTAAATTTGAATGCAGTTTTTTAGAGAATTGCACCAGAAACATTTAAAGGTATGCCACTTCAAAATCCGATTAAGATTAGTTGAGTTATGGAGTTTTGAGCTTCAGCCTTGGGACATTTTGTTAGTTTTTTGTATTTGTACATTATAACATCAAAAAAATTACAAAAAATTGAAAGAAAAATAAATTTCTAAATTTGAATGCAGTTTTTTAGAGAATTGCACCAGAAACATTTAGAGGTATGCCACTTCAAAATCCGATTAGGATAAGTTGAGTTATGGAGTTTAGAACTTCAGCCTTGGGACATTTTTGAATTTCCACAACATGATTACATCAAAAAATTTACAAAAAAATTGAAAAAAAAAAAATTTCTAAATTTGAATGCAGATTTTTAGAGAATTGCACCAGAAACATTAAGAGGTATGCCACTCCAAAATCCGATTAAGATTAGTTGAGTTATGGAGTTTTGAACTTCAGCCTTGGGACATTTTGTTAGTTTTTTGTATTTGTACATTATAACATCAAAAAAATTACAAAAAATTGAAAGAAAAATAAATTTCTAAATTTGAATGCAGATTTTTAGAGAATTGCACCAGAAACATTTAAAGGTATGCCACTTCAAAATCCGATTACGATTAGTTGAGTTATGGAGTTTTGAACTTCAGCCTTGGGACATTTTGTTAGTTTTTTGTATTTGTACATTATAACATAAAAAAAATTACAAAAAATTGAAAGAAAAATAAATTTCTAAATTTGAATGCAGTTTTTTAAAGAATTGCACCAGAAACATTTAGAGGTATGCCACTTCAAAATCCGATTAAGATAAGTTGAGTTATGGAGTTTTGAACTTCAGCCTTGGGACATTTTTGAATTTCCACAACATGATTACATCAAAAAATTTACAATAAAAATTGAAAAAAAAAAAATTTCTAAATTTGAATGCAGATTTTTAGAGAATTGCACCAGAAACATTAAGAGGTATGCCACTCCAAAATCCGATTAAGATTAGTTGAGTTATGGAGTTTTGAACTTCAGCCTTGGGACATTTTGTTAGTTTTTTGTATTTGTACATTATAACATCAAAAAAATTACAAAAAATTGAAAAAAAAAAAATTTCTAAATTTGAATGCAGTTTTTTAGAGAATTGCACCAGAAACATTTAAAGGTATGCCACTTCAAAATCCGATTAAGATAAGTTGAGTTATGGAGTTTTGAACTTCAGCCTTGGGACATTTTTGAATTTCCACAACATGATTACATCAAAAAATTTACAAAAAAATTGAAAAAAAATAAATTTCTAAATTTGAATGCAGATTTTTAGAGAATTGCACCAGAAACATTTAGAGGTATGCCACTTCAAAATCCGATTAAGATTAGTTGAGTTATGGAGTTTTGAGCTTCAGCCTTGGGACATTTTGTTAGTTTTTTGTATTTGTGCATTATAACATCAAAAAAATTACAAAAAATTGAAAGAAAAAAAAATTTCTAAATTTGAATGCAGTTTTTTAGAGAATTGCACCAGAAACATTTAAAGGTATGCCACTTCAAAATCCGATTAAGATTAGTTGAGTTATGGAGTTTTGAGCTTCAGCCTTGGGACATTTTGTTAGTTTTTTGTATTTGTACATTATAACATCAAAAAAATTACAAAAAATTGAAAGAAAAATAAATTTCTAAATTTGAATGCAGTTTTTTAGAGAATTGCACCAGAAACATTTAGAGGTATGCCACTTCAAAATCCGATTAGGATAAGTTGAGTTATGGAGTTTAGAACTTCAGCCTTGGGACATTTTTGAATTTCCACAACATGATTACATCAAAAAATTGACAAAAAAATTGAAAAAAAAAAAATTTCTAAATTTGAATGCATATTTTTAGAGAATTGCACCAGAAACATTAAGAGGTATGCCACTCCAAAATCCGATTAAGATTAGTTGAGTTATGGAGTTTTGAACTTCAGCCTTGGGACATTTTGTTAGTTTTTTGTATTTGTACATTATAACATCAAAAAAATTACAAAAAATTGAAAGAAAAAAAAATTTCTAAATTTGAATGCTGTTTTTTAGAGAATTGCACCAGAAACATTTAAAGGTATGCCACTTCAAAATCCGATTAAGATAAGTTGAGTTATGGAGTT